TGGATGGATGGATGGATGGATGGATGGATGGATGGATGGATGGATGGGTGGATGGATGGGTGGATGGATGGATGGATGGACGGGTGGATGGATGGATGGATTGAGGCTTTGAGGCATATTCTCATTAACCAGGAGTGTTTTTTTATTCCAAAAAAACAATAAATGAATCAAGTTGATATTTTTAAAGATCTTAAAAGAATAAAATAGCTGACATTTTGTCCAGCTGGCTTGCTCCTTTCTGGAATGAGTACACATTAGTGAAAAAGTACATTTTTGATACCTTTCAGTTGTTAGGATTTTGAGGGAGAATGTCACAAACTCAGAAATCCCAGAAGTTCTAAAAGGTTTTGATTTATAATACATAGTGTATATTACTAAACACCAATTAAAAGTCGCTTCTATCAAGAAGGCATAATATAACACATTTTCTCCTAAATGTACTAGTTTTAAAGCAGATTAACATAACACATACACACATAACAGATCAACATAACCTTACGTTAATTCATTTTCAGACATAAAAAAAATTCCAATTAATTTCTTAAATGAATCCAAGTGAATAGGCAAAGTTCACAAGTGAAAAGTAGTTGGACAAAATTGGGTTAAATCTTATTCAAGCAGGTGTCTTACACACTCTGGTGTGTATCATCCATTCAGTACTTCTTACTTTGAAGAATATTTTGTCCTTTCCATGTAATAACTTTAAAAAAAATACTAATAAAATGCTTCAATTTGCAAAGAAAAAGATATTTAATTTGGCCATTTGACAGTAAATTTATTGTAAAAGAGAAAAGAAATTGAAAGCCCCTTTGGGCATTAAACAATTTTGTATTAAAAGAGATATAGTTTATTGTACCAATGAGTTCTAAGAGTGAAAAGGCCATATTTTGGAAAGTGGAACAGCTAAATTATTTAATCCAGGATGTTCAGGTGTGACACATGCCTGAAATAGAATGGGATTTCTGATTTACACCTCTTTTCCATGGCTTATAAATAAAACTTCAAGGGTTGGTAAATTGCCTCAGTAATGTCGATGTGCGCCAATTAGTAATGTGTTAATTAATAATTCCGATGAAGACATGGAAAATGTGGAATCATTTACTTTGACATTATCCTCAGGTCACATATTCTACTGAGATGTTGGAGAATTACAGTAATTTCCATAATTAAGGTTAGTGTGAATTATGTAATTGAGGAGACTACCACTTTTCTGAAGAGGAAATGAAAGGATAACACCCCGTAAGAACAAAATTATGCAGCTGCGTGAGCATCACTTAGAAAGATATATTAAACCTTGAGGGTTTATATTAGACAAAGTGTGGCGTAAAGAAAAAGGCCAACTGGATTTAAACTTAAAGATTGATGAGGATGTATATGCTCTCATTAAAACCGTTTACAGATGTATTTTACAGACTCACCTGCTGCTCTGTTGATGGTCTGAGAGGTTGCAGATTTCATTTGGAGGCCTCTGTGGTGAACTTTGACCGTTCAGTGCCGCCTCTCTACTCCAAATGATTTTGCACACGTGATCCAGTCCGTCTCTTGGCACGTTTGGGTGAATCCACGAGGAGCGAGGAAACGGAGCAAAGGCCGAGAAGAATGTGTGTGCCATCCATGGATCTTGTGGCATTTTGTGTACCTTGTCTTTCCCACACATTTGGGATCTCTAGACCTACACAAAGCGTGTGACGATTTGTTTTGAATGCCCGTTTTCGAGAAGACACTAGATGCTGGCTTTTTCTGCTGCCATAGAAACCAGTTATTCTAGAATCGTGATAAGAGTGGCGGATAAAATTCGTAGGAGTTTGACCGCATTTGAAGTGAGTTTGAACTTGGACATGAGCCGTTACTCCAAGCAGTCTATTCTGGTTTTGACTGCCTATTTCTCAGTGATAACCGCAGTTATGAATGAAAGGATGGGGCCACAAAGATGCGGTTTCAATCAACTCAAAGGAGGCAGCAGGTCTTTTGTACAGTAACTGAGAAACGCATGCAACATGGTGTCAAAGAAGATTCTGACGAGGTCGGTGGTGGAAGAGTTTAATTTAATGTCCCATGAAAACAATTTACGAGCATCAGCATACACGGAACGTGGGGTTGAATGTCATTATGGCAACTGTTTCCACGCGCACCGCACTGCGGAAAAATAATAATTATGTTGGTCATATGCAATAGTGAAAACGACATTCAAATTTACTGGCCATGGTTCCAGTTTGTTAAGCACCACTTTAACGTTTTTGTGAGCACAAAGGGGACGTTTATGTTAAACTGCGGACCAATCAGACGAGTCGTCTTAATGAATGAACGGACTGGCTTCTAAATTGTAACGTAACAAGAACCTTTTAGATTATTATTATTGTTATTATCTAAAGTTGTTGGTATTAGGAAGCAAACCATCGCGATAGAGACAGCCAGAGACGCCAACAGCTGGTTCTGAGTTAGATCTTTCATCTACCTAACCACTTGATAGTTTTTTTTCTTTTCTTCCCCCCAGTGTTTTGTGAACTGACTTTCCTCCTCGTGGTTTGGGAGCTGGTTGGAATGATATGACCGGGGAGGACAGTGAGAGTGTGAGAGAGTTAGAGGCGGGTGAGGAGAAGCAGAAGAGAGAGAGAGAGAGAGAGAGAGAGAAATAGAGAGAGAGGAACGCGCAGAGAGCGAGCAGGTCTGCAGTCTGAATCTTGGCGTCGCGCAGACCCGAGAGGACGCTGTGGCCACGCGCTGCGATACGGGGATTACATACTGCATCCTTCTCTCGATTCGATCAAATCACCCGACTATACACTCCACGACGTCGGTTGAGAACTTCTCAAACGGTCGACGGAGCCATTCCTTCGGATCCGGATAACCTCTGCTTGTTCTGCCTCGTTCGTCGGTAGTTCGAAACCTCGGTCGAATGTTGAGTCAGAACGTGGATTATCAGCACCCCAAATGCTTTTAATAACTGGAGATAAAGCAGAAAGAAGGGCACAAGTGTTGAGGGATAAACTGGGCGAAGAATTTCTTGGATTTTTGGCGCACGGCTGGTAATAGTTCCATCTGTGGAGTGGACGAGGGATTTTTTTTTTTTGCGTCTTTTACTTGTGCTGGGGTAGATCGCTGACCACTTGTCTCCCCCCCTTTGGTTTGCCTTCCCTCTTCTTGCCCCCTTTAGGTGTGAAATCTATCTTCTCACAGAGAGACTCTGAACCCCTCGGTCCCCGCATGACATGGTTCAGTCCAGCTGCGAGATCCGAGCCACCTCCATGCATTGGGATTTTTCTCAGCTCCGACACCGAGTGAATCTTCCTTTTCTGAGCATCTGAGAACTCATCGCGCCCTGCCAGACCAGAGAAGAAAAAAAAAAAAAGCCCTGCCATGACCGCCGCTTCAAATCCGGACGGAGCAACGGGACTTGTCGGGAAAGCGGAATGCGTATGCAGGAAAAAGGACGGAATACGGATTTTTGCTCTAATGAAGGCGGGAGTACGGGGTCACTATTGGAGCCGGGTGCTCTTCTTGTACATGGGGCTGCTGGCCGCCTCAGTAAAGGGTAAGTCCTCGTTTTAACAGCCCCCAAAAAAAAGACATGCAAAAATGCAGCAGGCTTACCCCACACTCCACCGCCCACCATCCCCGATCCCCGACTGAATGCAAATCAGCATCAGCAACGCGCACGCACACTTTCATCCCAAAGGCGCGTTTTGAAACCACCTGGTTGTGATGTCGCTGTTCTAATACCGAAAGTTATTCATGGGAGGCTGGTTTGGGTGGGGGTGTCTATTTTGGCCACAACAAATCCTCAGAAATGGCAAGTGTTGATTTCATAAAAGAAACATGCTGTCTGATTTATTGATGAATCGTGGGCAGATTGAAGCCACTCAACTGATGAAGAAATCGTGTAAATCTGACGTTGGTTAACATTTTTTTCGGGGGAAAGGAACAACGGCAGTGCAGCATGAGCTGTGCTCATGAAGAAAATCCGTTGAGGTGGTCAAGCAGGAGTCTGATTATTATGCTGTCCAGACTCCAAGATATGTGTGTATGTGTTCGCGCGTGTCTGTAGGAGGGGGGGGGGTGTTCCTCTTTTAAACTGTTTGTTGTTACTTTTAGCTGCTCTCATCCTATATCGATTTAACTTTGGCATGAGCCAAGAGTTTCTTTTCCCCTCTCTCATACTGTCTCTTCGTGCAGGGTATACCTGCCCATGCACGCCCGAGCGTGCGTCGGGGATAGGCCTAATTAACTAACTCTGGGTTTTCTGCCTTTGATTAATTGGAAATGAAAATCTCGCAGCCGGAGCCGGGCATTCAACAGATTATCATTCTTATTAATTTACCGTCACGTCCTCACTGCGCAGCGTATTCCTGAAAGGGGAGAGACTCAGTTTCACCATATCCGCTGATACACATTAATCGTGATGTTGTTTCGACCTCGGGATCTTTTTTTTTTCTTCAACAAACAACCCCCCCCCTCCTCCTCCTCACTTTCCACTTTTTCCATCGCTCCCTCGGCTTCGAACCAAAGAACGATCACTATTTTTTTGCATAACCTTAGAATACTGACACGGCCAACATGTGAATTTGACAATGACTCATGACTCTGTATTAGCCCACTCATACCTGTAGTTGGGCAAGTCCTAATCCACAAGTGAGTGGGATGCTGGTGTTCGCTATTTTCGACAGGCTGTGTTGTCTCATACTCTGTGAGAGGGGTTTCAGGGCAAACATTCCTTTCTTTTAAACATATCTCCCACCAATTAACACCCACTCTCTCACCCACCTTTGATTAAACTCGTGCCAAGAAAACATCAAAAATGTTTCCTCTGCCGTTGAGGCAAAGATTTAACCCACTTTCATCTTACGCGCAATGATGGTGACAAATGTGTCTTGGCTTTCCTTTTGGAGTAAATCTAATTTGGTGAATATACGCAGGAGACTGCTTGTTTTATTCGCACCGAGGGAACTCTTTATTGCCCGATATCCCGCCGTTTGAGTCTACCTTGGAACCAATAAAGCGAGTCTAACTTATTGCGCAATTTTTTTTTCTGGAGTTGCAAGGAAGACTTGACGATCCAAAACGAGCGTCCTTTAACAACGGACGCTTTAAACGGTGTCAGTGACTATCACGAACCGACGCTGAGGTGGTCCCTGGATGCTGCAGCCAACAGCAGTTGCCCTATACTCCCATTGAGCGGCACCAGAGGCTCACACTATGTGCTGCGGAGGAAGATTAGGCCGGTGGTTCGCGGGGGTTTCACAGTCCACATTCTTTATCAAACCAAAGCACGATTCATAAGGCATTGACTTCTGTTGCCCAAACAAAAATGGTTTTAATTAGCCGGATATTATCTCTATTGTTCGCACGCGTAATTGGAGATCTTCTAGATGTATCTGAGCCCTTTCGTTTATTCGTTTATTTACCCTGTCGGTGAACTATTTCTCAATTTCTCCTATAATCTCGATGTCTATCCCGGGAGGCATTCAGACAAATCAATTTGTATATGTGGTACAGGTTTCTGACAAAGCATTACATAGCCTATTGAGGGGAGCAGTGCGCTTCTCTCCGCGGCATGGAAAAAAAAAAAAAGCAGCTGTCCCAGTGGACTGTTCGCTCAATAAGCGCTAATCAACCTTCATTCACTTAAACCTACACCAGAGGGAATGCAAAGGCCTGGAATGGAAGATGACAGAGAAAAGTTGGAGCGGGGAGGGGGTGATGATGACGTGTTTTTCCCCTAGCTGCTGCGTGGTCTTGGCTTTTCATCTCCAAAACTCGGCCGGTATAGATTATTCGTCAGCGGTGCATGAGACAGTCACTCAGCGTGTCCATTTACACGCAAGATCACGCTTTTGCCGTCCTCTCCCCTCAACGACGGTCTCTCCTTTTAAAGCACCGCGTTTTTACTCATGATGCAACGCGCAGTAATGTTATGAAGACCGAAGAGCTTGATGTTCGTTTTCATCCCCCCCACCACTCCCCACACCCACTTACAAAAAAAAAAAAAAACTTTATCACCTTTGCATGTGTTCTCTGAGCGTGTTTGCCTGCTCGCCCAGTGATGTAGGTGGTAGGATGCCAACATGGAGTGAGATATACTTGATTTGAATTCGTTTTTCTTGGCGCAATAAGTCAAAGATGCGCGTAAATGATCGAATGAAACATCGATTTAAAACAGGAAACACAGCACCTGGTCTCTTGCGTTTATCTGAATGCGTGAATGGAAGTAGACACGATAGGGAAAGCTTTCAGGACCTCGGACAGCAACAGAGCAGCAGAATCTGCTGTTCAGTGCCAGTTGTGTTCAGCACCACGGACAGTTCCCCCAACCAAACAGCCGCAGCAGCAGGAGAGGCCGGGCGGCTGGTTCTGCGCAAATTGGAATTGCTCCAGTGTTTTCATGGCTTTGAACCGCCAGCACCCGCATCTTAACAGGGTCATTTTGTAAGGGTTTGGGTTTCTCGACATTGGAGAGGAGGTGAAGTTGAATTCACTTGCGATAGCCGTCAGTCTCTTAAACTGCTTGTTGTTCAGGGAATCAAACATCAACCGTTACTTTTTTTGTAGCTAATTTAGGCAAATGTGCCTTTGATCAAGCCTCATGTGAGGGTTTTCCATTGTTTTCTATATAATGTATATTTTCCACATACA